ATATAGTATAGTATAGTATAGTATAGTATTTCAGTCTGGCGAGTAAACAAAAAAAATATACTAGCCAATGGCGATTCAATTGCCAAGGTGTCCGCTGAGGGTTGACTGTATAAAAACAGTTTGTGCTGCACTGTATTTGTTTTGTCCTATCGTATCTATCATATGTTGTTGCCTTATTAAAAAATATGCTATTCATTTAAAAGAAATGTATTTTAATTTTATAGTATATACATTCATGAATGTTTTTAATGAATGGATTTTATAATAATACAAATAGCAATGTGTAACATTTTATAGTTTATGATACATTTTTCTCATAGATTATAAATATACATAGGCCTATATTTTTTCATATTTATTTTATTTTTCTTTATAATGAAGTAGTCTGTATCTCGTAGATTGTGAAAGAATGATTATCAGTTCCACACACTAATTCTACATTTATTTAAATGAGGGAAAAGAACTTCACTGGTATCGGATCGGTATCGGCCAATACCGAACCCTAGGTATCGGAGGCGAAAAAGGCAGATCGGAGCATCCCTAATATAGATAGATAGGTAGAAAATATTTCTATAACATTACAAATGAATATATATTTATATTTTATGTCTATTTACTTACAGTATGCATGATGCGTACAGTTATCTAAAAAAAAGCTGTTAAGAAAAGGCTAAAATGCATGTCTCCACCACAAACTGAGGATGTGGTCAAATATTCAGTTCAGTATGGTGAAGATCTGCTGAAACATCACAAATACAAAACTGTCTATTTCTCCTCAGTGAGTGGGAATATACACTAGGTTGAGATGAACTGAAAATGAAACCCACAGAGTATTTATAAAAACGAGAAGTTTAAAAAGTTATGAAACATCTTATGAGAGAAGTCTGTCTACTATCTGTGCGTTTATATGATTGTGGGTGATACACACAGGGCCTGTTTAATAATTCGGGAGAAAAAAGGTGCAAAAGAAACGCAATACTGACTGACTGGAGGAGAAGTAGGGGGGGCTGAGAGAGTAAAATAATTTCCTAACATCAGGCCGCTGGCATGCCCCACACACACACACACACACACACACACACACACAGTCAGATTATAGACAGCAAACAGCCGCCATGGCAGCACTCACAGCTCCAAATGTCACAGGACAGAACAACACAATGTAACGACCCTTCACTGCTTCACCAGAGTTTATGATACATTGTAACGTTCATTATTATAGAACTCTTGATACACTGTATACACCCTTCATATACACTCTCAGAAAAAGGGTACAAAACTGTCAAAATGTATTAATATGCACACTTTAGATACTACTATGTAATTTTAAAAGTAATAATGTGTACTTTAAAATACTAATATGTAGCATTTAGGATCCCGCCACAGCGACAGCTTTGTACCTTTTTTCAAAGAGTATAGAGATAAAATGTAGTGACCTTTTGTCCTGATTATACTCTCAAATGTATCACACTGAACACAACCTCCAAATAACCCCCTGACAGCTGATAATTATAATCAGACATATGAAATAAACTCACTGTAAGTCGCTGTAATGCTTCCTGAGCTTTCTGCATGAAATGCACCATGCAATATTCTCAGGATTATGTTAAATACTCCCATGCATATTAATGCAACTCTCTTGTGCACATTAGATACACAATATCTCTACATTAACATGCAATATCCTTTAAATTAACTTATTGATCATGTTTTATCTTTGATTCAATACACTCCTTATAAGAGCTCTTCAGTTAATGCATTTCAAAGCAACTCCTCATTATTTTTCCAGACAGCACATAAAAAGCATGCAACATCCTCAGATTTAACACCTGCATGCTCATTTTTATAATCAGAGACTGTATGCACATAAATATTCACTGTAATATGCACAGTGGTGGGTGTATTTAAATGCAACTCCCCTCTAATGTTTCCTGACAGCTCCTCAGAGCTTTCTGCATGAAATGCACCAGAGGGGCCACAAAACATGCAATATCCTCAAAATTAACCCCTGACGGCTTTAATTTTTATGAGCACAGACAGTTAAAATAAACATAGTTGGGAGTATTTGAATGCAACTCCCTCTGATGTTCCCTGACAGCTCTTTTGTGCATCCTGCACGAGATGCATCGAGTTCAAACGTGCAAAAAACCTATGCATGCGCATTTAGTAAATATGTAAACATTAATTTGAACATATATGATAACAGAGTATTTAAATGCACCACGCCTTTAGGATTCCCGACAGATACTCAACGCATTTCAGATGCCAAAAGGCATCAAACATTATCAAAATGATGACCAGATCGCTGTTTATCTTCATAGACTCGATAGAAGTTAGTGAAACAGTTGTGGGAGTATTTAAACGCAACTCCTTCGAATGTTTCCTGACAACTCCTTTGGGTATGCATATGCATTTACATTCAGGAAATGTGTGATATCAATACAAGACACTCGGGTTACGCACAAACACCAGCAGAGAAAGCAAATCTTACTTTCCAAGTTCTTCATACAGCTGGTACTCGTCGGTGAAGCGCGTGCAAGTTGTCGTTGCCATTTCTCAGCCCTCAGCGTCCGCGGCAATATCCGAGCTGTGTGTCCAGCACTACGGTGATTCTCCTGTCGCTTCGACTTGCAGGATTTTTGAGGACAAAACGTCAACGTGGATACGGATTCGAGTGAGGGAGAGGTTCGCCGACGAGCAGACTCGACTGCTTTACCGACCTCTCACCGAATGCGCCGTTCAGCTGCAGCGCACTAGTTTTCCGCTGCGAGAGACTCGCGCTGTCACCGCTGGAGGGCGCGGCGGAGCTTACACGTGCAACATCTCTCCGTTTTTCACCTTTTTAGTGGGTGTATGGAGAGGTGCTGTCGTTATGAAACTAATAACACGTTTAGAAATTAATAATGTCCAATTTAACTGACCAAATCTATATCCATCCCACTGCCACGAAACACACACATAATTTGCGCACTCGTTGTTTTCAGCAATGACTGACCTAAAAGCCCCTGATTGGCCATAAGCTAAACAGAAATCTATGTGATTGGTTATAATGCTCAACGCTGAAAAATAAAACGCGTAAAAAGCAATCTGATGCAATTCGCGAACTGACACTTTTCTTTCATTTTCACATGTAATTATATATATATATATATATATATATATATATATATATATATATATATATATATATATATATATATATATATATATATATATATATATATATATATAATTACATGTGAAAATGAAAGAAAAGTATATATACGTGTGTGTGTGTGTGTGTGTGTGTGTGTGTGTGTGTGTATATATCCTACATATGTCGATAGACAGACGGACAGATAGATAGATAGTGACCCTTGGTTAAAAAAAAGGCTGCGAAAATAAATCTGCATTGTTTATCCTTTTGCTCTTTCATTAAAAAAATTCACAAAAATCTAAGCTAAAAGAAACCATTTTGTTTTCTTCCAGTAAAGGTTGGCAACAATTATTACCACCCCTGGACATTCTTATGTGTAAAGTATCTCTCAAGTATATCCCTCCTCATATTTAACATATTTTAGCACACCAAGGTGACTAGAAACATGAAATTGTCCAGCCATGACTTCCAGTTTCACAGAAAGGTATAGATACGAGGTAACACAAAGGCCAAATTCCCTTAATCATCAATCACAAGTTGTAAAACCAAAGAAAATAGTTTTGATGTGCGGCAAAAGATTGTTGAACTTCACAAAATAGAAAGATGATGTAAGAAATTAGCTACATTGTTGAAAACTCCTATTTACACCATCAGGCAATAATTAAGAAGTTTTAATCTACAAGAAATGTTACAAATCTGCCTGTCTATATTGTCTTGATCCAAGATAAGGAGGAGGAGTTTGAGTGGCCAAAGACTCTACAGGGTTCACAGCTAAAGAATTGTAGAAATGAGTTCAGTCTTGTGGTCAGAAAGCCTCAAGAAATATGAAACAGCGCCACAAGTCATTTGGGAGAGTTTCAAGAAAAATCCTCTGCTCTCATCCAAAACCAAACTCCAGCATATTCAGCTGCCAAACACTACTGGTACATCAAATGGGACTGGGTTCTGTGGTCAAGCGAAGCTAAAAAGAGCACACAAGAATTAGGTTTGGTGCACACAGGGATAAAAAGTACCCCATGCCCACGGTTAAATATGCTGCTGGATTTTAATGTTGTGGGCCTATTTTTCTGCCAGAGGTCCTGAACATCTTGCTCAGATACATGGCATGGACTCTAGCAAATACCAATATACCAGCACATGAAAAAAAATCTAAAAACCTGACTGCCTGTGCTAGAAATCTTATAATGGGCTATGGTTGGATCTTCCAAAACAAACATCAAAATCAACACAAAAATGGGTCACGGAGCACAAAATGAAAGTTCTGCCACGGCCATCACAGTCCTCTGAACCCTACAGAAAATGAGTGGGGTGAACTAAAGAGTAGTAGTTTTATCATTTTATATATATTATTTTTATGACATTTTTAGCTTGAAAAGTGTGTTTGTGCCAATACTTGTGTATCTAATGCAGTGTGACGGCAATCAAACAATAAGACAAATTTAATGTTTGCAAAAGGTTTTATTAGATTCAGGCACAAAAATCTGATGCAAATGATGGAAACAAGTGAAGGTTAAGAATTTCTTTCTCGTGTGAACTGCAGCAATCTGCTTAAAGAAACAGTGCAAACCCTTAACATATCTGATGAAACTTTATTTCACTGTTGCTATTGTAGATCACTCAAATAGTATGAAAACTAACAATCAATAAGCCCGAATAACTTGGCAAATGTAAGATCACAGACACATGTGGCCAAAGAAAACCTTAGTCAACTGATTTCATGAAACACTACAAATTATAAATGATCAATGGCCCATTTTGCATGGCAACTAAACATGAGACAATTATCAGTGTCAGTGAATCAGTTATATTGGCATGAGATGTGCAGTGCAGACATTTTATAGCACCGCAAGAAACCAACACCGTCACTGTACTTCAGTGTGTGTGTGTACGTTTGTTACAGTAAGTGCTGACTTTCCATCTGGCATGTCATGCGACCTCAAAACTGGACAGCACTGTGTGGGATGTTGAACATGGAGGGGTCAAAGTCTTGGCCTTTAAATGGAGATCCTTCAGCATCCCAGCCCTTCTTCAGCATCTCGTGGACTTTCTGAAACACAAAGTCAAACATCGTTCAATGCAATATCCAGATAGTTTCTCATGCAAACAAGTGCCAAAGCGCTTAAAGGAATAGTTCACTCAAAAATGAAAATTTACTGAAAATGTACTCACCCCTCAGGTCATCAAAGATGTAGATGAGTTTGTTTCTTCATCAGAACTGATTTGGAGAAATGTAGCATTACATCACTTGTTGTTGGATCCTCTGCAGTGAATGGGTGCCGTCAGAATGAGAGTCCAAACAGCTGATAAAAACATCACAATAATCCACACCACTCCAGTCCATTAATTAACATATTGTGAAGTGAAAAGCTGCGTGTTTGTAAGAAACAAATCCATCAAGATGTTTTTAATTTTAAACCATTGCTTCAGTCCATATTAATATGAACACTTCCTCCAGTAAAAAAAAAAAGTCTATCCACTGTTGTCCTCTCACATCAAAATCTACCTACATATTTGAACTCTTTTTGCTAGGTGCTTGATCTGTGCATATTTCTCTCGATTTGATTTTTTCATTGGAGAAAGCAATATTATGGATAGAAGACTCATATTTTAGACGCAACAGTATGAAGTTAAAAACATCTTAATGACGGATTTGTTTCTAACAAAATTGCATCTTTTTGTTTCACAAGACATTAATTGATGGACTTTAGTGATGTGGATTACTTGTGGATTATTGTGATGCTTTTATCAGTTGTTTGGACTCTCATTCTGACGGCACCCATTCACTGCAGAGGATCCATTGGTGAGCAAGTGATGTAATGCTACATTTCTCCAAATCTGTTTCTGATGAACAAACAAACTCATCTACATCTTGGATGGCCTGAGGGTTAGCACATTTTCAGCAATTTTCATTTTTGGGTGAGCTATTCCAAGTGTCCTTGGACTGAACTCCTTTTATATTCCAGAGCAGTATTGAACCAATATAGCAAATAACAATTTCCATTGCTCACAATCTCATGGCTCTGTGGTCTCCCCTGGAGTTTTTGGTGGTAATCAAACGACAGGCGGTCCAGTACAGCATGCTCCTCTTCATCTACAGTTGCCATAGTGCGTTCCCGGTTGATCTGGTTCACATCGATCTCGGCCTCACCCTTCAACACGGCACTCCACCAAACCTCCCCGGTTTTACTGAGGGACAGCTGGAGGAAAAGTCCAAATGATCATCTCGACTATCTACAGCTACTAACAAAATCCATCAGATCTGTCTCCAGCTTACATTGCCTCAATAATACAGAATACAATTTAATGATAGCAAATGACATGTGCACAAAACAGGGCTGTTATTGTTAACTACAAGGTTTCTGCAGGTTTTATGAAGATATAAGAATGAAGATATTTAAGATGTTTTTAAGACTCAGTAAAGAGTATGAAAATAACTTTTGATCACACTGCAAAAATGTCTTGCCTTCCAGTGCAAATGTCTAAAGATTAATAAATCAATATGCATTTCCTTGAGATGCAAAATTGTGAGATAAAAAGTATTGTTTTCTGAGAAATTGATTAGAAAGCAAGTTTATGATTAAAACAAATGTTTGCAAGTGGGGTAAGAAAAATAAACAAAAAAAAAATTATACCCAAAGACAGATGCTTGTTCTTGTTTTAAGCATAAACTCACTTCATTTTGTTCAGTTTGTCAGAAAACAAGACTCCATTTATTTGCAAAAACAATTCAAAAATCATGTTTTTTTTATTATGTTATCATGTTTTACTGTGTTTTATTGTTTTAGTTCGCTGTGTATTTGTTAACCTAATCAAAATAACCCAACTGCAGCTTGATTGAGATTAATTGGAATGCACAATGAAAAAACGTGATTTTTGAAGTTATCCACTTTTGCAAATAAACTCATATCTTGATTTAAGGATGTTTTGATCCTGTAATTGTACTACAAATCGAGTCAAAACCCTGTAACTAAAATTACTTTTTAAAAAACATTTGTATTAACTGAAATAAAAATTGAAATAAAATAAAATATAAATATTAGAAGAAAAACTTCAACTGACAAGACTGTCAGTGATTTCCGAAACTGAAAAAATGGCTAAAAACTGTCTGATGCATCAGTATCACCATTTCAGATCCACCATCCAAAAATAATGTGTACCAGAACGCATTGGCCGGGCTCCAGGCTCCATAGGGAACTTTCAGTGTTAATTTTGTGTGTGAATTCGCCCTCCATCAGGACTCTCTGTGATCCTCCCTCGTTCACGGCCACACGGACCTTCCCCGGCTGCAGATCCACAGACACCTGCACACAAAGATGGAACAGATAGCAGACTGTGATCAAACTTGTAATACTAGACAGTAAGATAAAAAGATGGAAATGAGGATTCTGCCAGACAGTAACACTGATAAAATCAGATGGCAGCAGGATACACACCTGTCGGCCTTTAACGATGTTAGGCTGCACATGCACTCGAACTTCCACATCCGTGTAATCCTGCGACCAGGTGTAATTTTCTCTAACGGCACCATTGTAACTGTCTGCATTCGACTGAAAACGTTCTTGTCCACTGAAAATGTGAAGTAGAACTTGTTAATAGGTCAAAACAATGCACAAACTTTTGAGGTCGGTAAGAATTTTTTTTTTTAATGTTTTTGAAATATGCTCACAAAGGCTGCATTTATTTAATTAGAAATACAATAAAACAGAAATATTGTGAAAAATGATTACAATTTAAAATAACTGTTTTCTATTTAAAATGTCATTTATTCCTGTGATGCAAAGCTGAATTTACAGCATCATTAGTCCAGTTTTCAGTGTCACGTGATCCTTCAGAAATCATTCTAATATTCTTTTTTTTTTTTTTATCAATACAGTTGTGCTGCTTAATATTTTTGTGGAAACTGTAATACATTTTCAGGACTCTTTGATGAATAGAAAATACATCATCTACTTGAAAGCGTAATCTTTGAAATATTTTAAATGTCTTTACTGTCACTCTTGTTTTATTTAATGGGTCCTTGTTGATTAAAGTACTAGTTTCTTAAAAACAAAACAAAAAATAACTCACTGACCCCAAAGTTTTGAACAGTAGTGTCTTTTAGTATTCATATTTTTGAGCAAATGCTTTAAAAGTCAAGCATACACAGAATGGGAGTTTGATGGCACTGCGGCTCCTGACGGCTCAGCGGTGCTGCTCTGAGTCTCTCCGTGTGTCTCTGTGCTCTGTGCTGATGGTGCTGGGACAGCTGTGGGCTCTTCTGTGCTCCTCTTCTCCTCCACAGGAGCTTCAGCCTCCTGTTCTGATTGAACCTCCAGCTCCTGTACTGCAGGAGGAGCGGCTTTATCAGCCTCTGCCAGCCTCGCTGCCCTCTCTCTGTCCTGCTCGGCGAGATTCTCAAATAACTTAAACGTCTGATGGAGAAAAATGACAGAAAATAAACTTACAGGACATTCAATAGACTCTTAAGTTTGTTATAGCAACTACAAAGTGGCATAATAAAATAATATATAAAAATAACTTAATTATGATAAATTATATTACATTTATAAATTATATTATAATTTTTAGACCCTTTAAAGACCTTACAGCAATCATAAAGTGGCATAATATAAATAAAATACATTAATAATTTAAATGTTTTTATTTAATAATTTCACCAATTAAAATACAACTATTTTTAAATAATTAATAAGACACTGTCACTGCAATTACAAAACGGTATATAATTAATAATATTAATTATTAAAATTATTTATTATAATAAAATTATAAATGTATAATTATAATTTAATAAATTAATTATTTTGAATAATTTAATAATTTTAAAGACAATGTTACACCAACAGTTGCATACTGTAAATATTATAAATTATTTAATAGTTTTTTCTTATTTTTATTTAATTATTCATTTTGATTCATTTAATTATTTTTATAATATTAATAATACATTTTACTACTGTCACAAACGTCTAAAACACTGACATGGCTAGGTGTCACACATTAAAAGCAAAACAAGACAATACCATGTTTTTGAACAAGTACCAAGACAGAAGTACCATGGTACTATTTGAAATATTTTAATATCATAGTACATGAATATAATAATTAGGGCTGTAAGTCGATAAAAATATTTAAACATTAATTATATGATGTAGTGATTAATTAATCTAATAATTGCAAACTAAATTTGGCTGTGAAAATACCCACAAAATGAGAAATCAGTGTTAAATGAGAAAGTATCAAGTAGACATTACAAATAGTAGCTTTAGAAAGAAATATTTAGTTTGATTCAACATTAAATTTATTACACCTAAACGTTTAAACTACAATGGCCTAACATAAACTATGGAACATAAAAGTTTTTTATTTTTATTTTGGAGAACTATCCCTTTTATGTTTTTGTCTTTATTTATTTATTTTTTAATAAATGAAATGATACTCTAAAGAAGAAACTAAAGCTGCCAGCAGGTGGCGGTAAATGTCATTCATTCATTCGATTAGTTCAAACGGCCTACAAATAGTAGCTTTAGAAAGAAATATTTTGTTTGATTCAACATTAAATTTATTACACCTAAACGTTTAGACTACAATGGCCTAACATAAACTATGGAACATAAAAGTTTTTTATTTTTATTTTGGAGAACTATCCCTTTTATGTTTTTGTCTTTATTTATTTTTTAATAAATGAAATGATACTCTAAAGAAGAAACTAAAGCTGCCAGCAGGTGGCGGTAAATGTCATTCATTCATTCGATTAGTTCAAACGGCTGATTCATTCAAGAATTAAATAAACGGCTCTTTCTATGAAAAGGCTTTTGTACGGTGGCCGAGAAGTGCTAAACAAATCACAATTCTGAAAACAAAGTAACAAATTACAAACGCAAATGCAAGTCTGAAAAACAAAATAACAATTCAAAAAGCCGAAGAACAGCATAGTCGTGGTAGAAAGTTCGGCGATGTAAAGTAGCTCAGTTTAAATGTATTGTATGAATTGCCCTTACTATGGAACAAATAATACGGGGTGTCCATTTACATTTAGTTAAAAGTGGATGTGACTCATCAGCTCCAGTGGTGCAGATGGATAAGCGCGTGTCACTGACTTTTTGACGCGATCGACCCGGGTCCTTTTCAAATCTCTTATCACATCGTAAAGGCATTTATTTTCAATAAAAATTAAGGAAATAATCAAAAAGTTGAAAATAAAGTATCGGGTAGGGTTAGGGTAGATGTAGGGAGGGCTTTATTGTACCAATAAGGTGGCATCCATTTAATAATTAAAATTATAATTTACACTCAATACGTTATTATTACATACTGTTTTATAACGTACTACAATACTGACGTGCAAATAATTGCCACTATTTGCAACAAGTAGTATACTTGATAGTAGAAATCCTGCTATTTTAACGTAGTGTAAATAGAACCCATTGCTAATACGAGATTTTAAAAGGGAGGAAAAAAAGTTCGGCAAAAGGCGGGATCGAACCCGGGTCGATCGCGTCAAAAAGCCGATAACACACACTTGTCCACCTGCGCCACTGGAGCTGATGTTTTACAGCCACTTTTAACTAAGTCTAAATAGACACTCCGTATTTTTTTATTCATAGTAAGGGCAATTCATACAATACATTTAAACTGAGCTACTTTAACACCTTCGTCGAACTTTCTACCACGACTCTGCTGTTCTTCGGCTGGTTCTTCCCTGTATACGTTGATTGACAGATGTCTCGTCCAGTCAGCGGTGAGTAATCCCAAACCAATGGCGCTGTCTCAAACTATACCTACCTCTTCCGGTTTGTCGTTGTGTTTTCTGACTTATTTTGTTTACGAATTTATCATTGTGTTTTCTGACTTGTTATAATATTTTCTGAATTGTTGTTGTGTTTTCTGAATTGTTATTTTGATTTTTAGACTTGCATTTGCGTTTGTAATTTGTTATTTTGTTTTCAGAATTGTGATTTGTTTAGCACTTCTCGGCCACCGTACTTTTGAATCATTGCTTCACATGATTCGTGCAAAACGCGGATTCATTCAGAAACGAAACACCGCTGTGTTGCTCGGAGACGCACAAAAGTTCTAAGTAATATTTTCGTTGGCAAAATTGAGCAGAAACACAAAATATTGTGTTTAAAATATAACAATATTAACTTCTTATTTTCTGACCTGTTGTAGAAACTCACATTTGCACTCGTGCTATTCGGACAAACAGCACTTGTGTTTGCACATATCGCTTATCATGTGATATAAATATGAGACAAAACTCATACAGGAGCATTTTTTGGCCCAATATTTTGAATTTGAGGGCATAAGTGCATTTATGAAGTTGTTGCCCTGCATCATATTTGTCAACACATGAAATGTAAGATGACGTACAGGTCTGGGGGCGGGGCCAGCGCGTTAACTGCGTTAAAATATTTTAATCGCGTTATTTTTCATAACTAATTAAACTAACTAGTTAATCTGACATCCCTAATAATAATCATTCAGTAGCATGGTATTCTCAGCTGATGCCATCACTGCCACATTTATATTTATTTCTAGATTATCCAGTCAGTTTAATGGATCAAAACAAAAGTCAGTCAGTACCTTAAACACCATTTTTTCAGCTACTCCGGGCGGGAAGCCCATGCGGTCCTGCGGGCCGCTGAGAAGGCGGTAGAAGTCCGTCTTTCTGTAGAGGAACCCAAAATAAACCTGCAGGAAATTCTGAATGTTTCCAACATGCTGCAGGACCCCTAACAGCGCGTTATCATAAAGCTCAGTCATTTCCACCGGAGAAGACATGGCTGAGCAGCTCAGCGGGACGTTCTAATTATTGTGAAGAGTTTTATAAAGACCTTTATCGTTTCAGATACTCTAAACAGAATTTGGACTTATTCTTTAACTCCCTTGATACGGAGCTTATTCCTAAAATGAATGATATTGGAAAGAATTTATGTGACGCTCAAGATATTTATGAAGCCATTGATAAGTTAAAACTTAATAAATCTCCAGGAAATGATGGTTTGACCGCAGAGTTTTATAAAACATTTTCAAATGATCTTTGTAAAAACATTTTTAGACAACCGCACATCCTGTTGGAATTTTATTCCAAATCATATACATAGGTTTACATTTTTTATTGCGCTCCAACTTTGACATCTCTAAAATACCTTTAAATTTATCTTGTTTTCATAAACAGGCTTTAATAAGTTGGTCACTTATACATAATTATCATTTTTCACCACATAGCTACTTTATTTGGAATAATAAAAATATTAGATATAAAAATAAATCTTTTTTTTCACAATTGGTTTGATAAAAATATACTTTTAGTCAGTCAACTTTTAGATGATCGTGGTGTCCTTTTTACTTATGAACAATTTATGCAAGAATTTTCTTTTCCTGTCCCCCCAAGAGAATATGCCATTGTGTTTGGTGCAATTCCCTCTTGTATTATACCTTTAGTAAAATATGGCCCTAAAGGTTCGTTCGACTCTCCTCTTTTTGATAACACTAACTTATTTGTTGGCCAAAGTCTTCTCAATACCATGTCAAACAAAGACATCCGTTCAATTATTAATAGATCTCAGATTTCTTTACCTGCTTGTGTGAGTTTTTGGAATAACATATTTAGTGATATAGAATGGGAAGAGTTTTGGCTTCTTCGACAAAAAGTCTTCTTATCTAATAAAGTTGTTGAAGTCTCTATCAAAATTATCCATAATTGTTATCCGGTAAATTACAAACTTGTTAAATTTAACAATAGTATTTCCCCCAATTGCTCCTTTTGCCTTCAGTCTGAAGAAACAATCAATCATTTATTTTGGGACTGTGCTTATTCTAAAGTGTTCTGGGTTGACTTTTCCAATTTTATTAAAAAATATTTATATCCAAACTTTTGTATAACCCCCAAAATTGTTTTTTGGTTACTCCTTGAATTTAGATCTTTCTCAGTGTAAATTTATTATTAATCTATTGCTATATCTTGCTAAATTTTACATTCATAAGTGTAAATGTTCAAAGAAAACTCCCTACTTAGATTTTGATGTATATGTAAACTCTTTAAGAAACTCTAATAATTCTCTAAGACTCTAAGACTCTTTCATGGTGTAAATCTTATAAGCTAACATAGTATGCTGTGGAGTATTGTTTGTAACCCTTATTGTCTTTTGTTCTTACTTGTATTTGTTGTTCTTCTATTGCATAATAAAAAAAGATTTAATTCGTTGTGTTTTCTTTTTTGCTATTCTAACTAATAACACATTTCTAATCGAGAGGATCTTCCATATCTTATGTAACTGACGCAGAAGCGGTCTGATAGATAGATAGGCTACTGTCTGGCACTGAATGTAGTGTGGGATGGAAAGCACGACTTAGATTGAATAAGTAGTAAATATCAATTATCAAATATTCTCTGTTTTCGTAGATTGTGAGCAGCCAGTTATTTCCTGCGGCATGTTTCAGGAACATTCACTGTACTGCAGCTTGTTTGAAGGTATGTGATCAAACTCCAGTGTTTCGATCAGTTATGACATTTGTGTATCTTGTTTATCCAAGCACATTTAATTGATTCTAGTTTTTTCTAAGTGGGGTACATGTGGTTAAACAAAATGAAAAAAGTACTAAAAAACATTTACATACAACATTTATACAAACAATACATTTTACAGCTTTGTATTATATTTAATTATTTATTTACTATTTTTGTACTGTTGAACTTCTGCCTTTAAAATTAAAACAAAGCCTTATTTGTCCCATATTTACATTTATGTATACTAAACTTAGCAAATAGAAGACTAATGAAATAATATTCCTTATAAGACATAAGCAAAAAATGCTTAAAACTATTTCAAAACTCCAGAATAAATGAAAGAACATTTCTACATGTAAAGCACAAAATGTACAAGAAATATCAATATTAGTGAAATCTATTCGATTTTATTTGTGATTTAGGATCTTTAACGTAGTTGTCAAATTTGATTCCACATCGGACCATCAACAGTCGTTTAAAAATGTCAAAGTAGTAGCCAAAATCCATTTGAAACAAAGCTTGGACACATCGGATATTATATGAGAGAAGGACAGAGACTAGAATCAGTATTTTCAGAAGCATTTTTAACCCAGAGGATCGGTCTCCTCTCTAACAGAACCGCGCAGCTCGTATTCGAGTGGGTAAAGGAGACAAGTCAGTGACTTATGAGCAGGCGTATCACCCTCATCACATCGGCCACAGGAAGGGCTGGCTCTCACAGCACACCAGTAAGTCACATCCCCACTCTTTAACCTCTATGTGGGATGGTAATAAAGACCTTGTTGGTTCATTTAGCTGTAGTATCTGTAAGTGCATGAATAAGACTCTTTTCTACGTCCCGCAGGTAATCTTCAGGGTGAAGATGGAGCGGCGGAGCGTGTAGTGGAGGACGTCTTCATCAGACGCTTCATGTACGGCACGTTTCACGGCTGTTTAGCGGATGAGGTGGTGATCAAACGCAGAGGAAACCTCCTGGTCATCTGTGCTGTGATGATACAGAAACTCTTACCGTCGAAATTCTACTTTCTCATTGGTTACACAGAGGAACTGCTCTCCCATTTCTACAAATGTCCAGTTAAAATTGAGATGCAGACGGTAGAAGAAAAAGTAGTCTACAAATATCTTTAAGGCCATGTGTTGTGGGGAAAAGCATAACTAATTTCTCTATTTATTTGTATGCTTTACACTGTCCAGTAAGTGTCAATGAAGGTTTTTTTTATTTTTTATTTGGGAAATCATTAGTAAAAATATTCTCATGATAGTAACGTGAAAGGGTCTTATACTGTGTTTATTTGTAAAGATCAAAATATTTCTTTGGGGTTGGAAATTAATAGGGGTTTGGTGCAAAAAATCCCACAAGAATGCATAGTTATACGAACTAAAAAGCCACATTTTAAGATTTAATACAATTTCGTTAATGCATCGTTTTGTTTTTTTTGTTGCGTTTAGCATTGCAACCAATCACACGTTTCTGTCGAGCGTATGAATGCAGTGGCCAATCAGATTAGATTAGTTACCAGTAATGAAGAAAATGCCAAATTGATTAAATTAATTGAATAAATAAGTATTTAACATAAAAGACAACACAAATACATATAAGATAATTCTGTTTACAAAAGGTAAAAAAATGGCCCTTCAAATAAAAATATTGCCCCTTAATGGAAAAATAAATGAATGACCCTGCAGCTTTTGTTGTTGTTTTTCGTCACTAAAAAAAAAAAGCAGTGAATTATGTATTTTGCATTTTTATTTTCAATTTATTTTATGTACTTTATAAATTGACTTAAAGATTAAAATCACTTTGATTCTTTAATTCAGTCAGCAATAAATATTACTTTATATTAAGAATATTATGCATATTCCGTAAAGTTCATCATACAGAGTTTCTTAATTTAATCAGTCTTTTAATCAGAACCATACATTAAAATAAATATTAAAAACATTTAGAAGGAAAACTATTTGCATCAATTGGACGCTGCGAAGTCAGTCTTATTTTTTTTTTATTTCATAAATTTATTGATTATTCAAAATTATTCAACATTTGTATCATACAAAAGGCACAAACACTGCTTTAGTGCAAAAAGGCACAATCATATTTTAGGTTAAAATCAAAGTTGGCAAAATTCCCTTAAATATCAGACCTTTCCCTTTATCATTTTAAAATAACAACATCAGAACAGGATTTCCATTGTGGCACATGAGCGTTTTCAATTATGGATACATATAAGGTTTAATTCACAGTATCAATAAATCAAAATAAAACAACCATGCATAAAGGTCAAACAGGAAAAAAAAACTCTTAAAATGCAAAAGATGAATGTTTTGATGGTAGTATATTTAGCCAAACAACAAGATTTGGTTTAAACCTGAACATAAAAATGCTGGGGGGAAAAAAAACAAAAAACAAAAATTGCAGTAGGAAGTGTAAGCCAAGGCTGACGACGAGTAATCCTCCAGTTGAACTGGTTCAAGCCCTTAGAAACTGTGTTCATGTAGCTGTATGACAGCATTTGAACTAGAATCAACACTGTAGATACATTCACATTTAAAGGGATAGTTCACCCAAAAATTAAAAATCTGTCATTAATTACTCACCCTCGTATTGTTCCAAACCCGCAAGACCTTCGTTCATCTTCGGAACATAATGTGGAATAAAGTAGTTATTTTTGTTTTCTTTGTGCAAAAAAGTATTCTCGTAGCTTCGTAACTTTACAGTTGAACCACTGATGTCACACGGACTACTTTGTCGATCTAATGTGGAATAAAGTAGTTATTTTTGTTTTCTTTGTGTAAAAAAAGTATTCTCGTAGCTTCGTAACTTTACAGTTGAACCACTGATGTCACACGGACTACTTTGTCGATCATCTTGGTACTTTTCTGGACCTTGAACGTGGTAGTTACCTTGCTGTCTATGGGAGGGTCAGAGAGCTCTCAGATTTAATCAAAAATATCTTAAATTGTGTTCCAAAGATGAACGGAGGTTTTACGGGTTTGGAACAACACGAGGGTGAGTAATTAATGACAGGATTTTCATTTTTGGGTGAACTAACCCTTTAAAGGAGGGAAGTGCATGTGACTTCCCAGATCAGAATTAAAGGGAGAGTTCATGCCAAATATTACATTTCTGTAAATATTTACTTATCCGAACCTGTATGACTTACTTTCTTGCACCAAATGCAAATTGTATGGTAAAAAGAAGAAAGTAAGGGTTGAGTAAATACTGACAGGACATGAACTGTCTCAAGAGAGATTTGTGAAATATGATGTCACATTACCCAACTTGGCATTCGCTGCTAGAGATGGGCTTTCAGAGCAGGGCTGGGGTCCAGCCCTCCCTCTGCCACGGTTTTATTTGATGTTTCGACAGCTGTCACCCGTGCAGGACTGCAGCTTGATCAGCCTTTGGTTCATGATCTGCAGAAGCGTAGGATCGACCTTCTTCACGATGTTCTCCAGCTGATGGGGATCTGACGTCAGGTTGTACACCTCTACGAACGACTGCAGGATCAGTGACAGTTGAGATGCCTAATAATTTTGTGGAAACCATGATACATTTTTTCAACGAGTAGAAAGATTTATTTGAAATCGAGATCTTTTGGTTACATTATAAATGTAATTACTGTGACTATCAATTTAATGCATCCTTGATAAACAAAAGTATTGATTTCTTTTTACATAGCAATGGTTGTACTACTGCTGACTGAAATAAATTATTGTATTTTAGCATTTATTTCAGAATAATCATAATTTGGAGGTTAAAGGAGCTTAATAATCATGAAGTCAATAAAGTCACATTACAAAATAAAACTTAATGCTAAAAAGAGGCAAAATTTTCTGTGTGTTTTTTTTTATATATAAAATTTGGGGTAAAATGTGACCTGGACATGTTGTAGTGAAGAATTTAAGATTACTGTAATGCAAAAAGATTATAATATAAATATTGTATAATTAACAAAAATATGCAACAAAAAAAATCTTATTTTAAATATTTAAGTAATATAAATAATTTAAATAAAAAATATTTTATTAAATTTCATTTACTCAAATAGTTTTCTTGAATTTGAGGCAATCAGGGAAATAACTGAAAACGAACAAACATTAACAGCATTCCAAACTTCTCAAACCCGTAAGAATGTTGCTGGCTTGGAACACTTGAAAGATTGCAAATATTTAAACACGTTGTGAAGAGCTTATGATATCATTTCAAAGAAAGAGCACCATGCAAATAGGCAGGTGATAGTGTATAGAGCACCAAACGGGACAAAAGCTGACCTGATTCAAGTATTTCCCGCCGTAGAAGGTCTGGTAGCGCATCTTATTGAGGTAAACCGGAAAGGCGAAGGGCTCAGCCTCCTTCTGCCACGCTGTGCCGCTGCAGTTGCCAGAGATGGAGTTATTTCGGACCAAATGATTGTGTGGATATTTCCCAGTGAGGATGCTGCTGCGACTGGGACAGCACAGAGGGGTGGCAGTGAACTAAACACAACAAGAAAAGAGAAACTTGTGATATTTGATCAGATCCATTAAAAAAAAATCTTTGGATCATGACTAAGCACTCACAGCATTGGAGAAAGTCACACCAGCATCACCGATCAGTGCTTTGGTCTTCTTCATAGGCGTCTGTGAATAAAAAAAGATTCAATGAGATGGCTATAGTGTCGATATGACGCATCATCTGTAACTAAGTGTCAACAGGATGTATGATTTCACACACTAATTTTAGCCGAATGACTTGTTCCTGGACTTGATTCTTAAAACAACAGCAGTTTCAACATGACTTTAACATGGGACTGGTTTAACCTAGCCTAGTAGTTTTATAATCACAACATTATTTGCGTGATGCTTAAGTACATAATTTTTTTCATTTCAGTCAGCACTAGTACAATAAATGCTACGATGTATACTTTTAAATTTAAATAATGCATTTTAATATATATTTAAAAATGTAATATGTTTGCATTATCTGTGCATGTATCTGTTAATAAATGTGCTTAATTTCTGTGAAAAAATTCAATGTAAAATCCTAAAATAGCAAGGTTTTACACACATACCACACAAAATTTCTATGGACAAACTGAGTACTAACTTATATATACACATGCAGAAAAATCAATGCAAAATTGCCTAGTACAACAAATTCTACGATGTATAAATACAGCTGCATTTAAATAAACATTTAAAATTATGTTATCAATTTTTGCAGTACCAGAATGAGAATTGGGAAATTAAACGTGCTTGTTTTTCCATGATCAAATGTCACAATTTAAAGAAAAAATATAATAGCCTTCATTTCATCAACAAAATATTTCCTACTTTTGTTCTGTTTGAATCTGAGGCAGGGCTGGATTGGTAATCGGGCATACCGGGCATTTTCCCAGTGGGCCGGCGCACTTAAGGGGCCGACAGAATGTTTTTTTGCCGAAAACCATCACGCAGGGACAGCGAGCAGCCAGTGGCCCATTGGTTTGTCTCCTGTATTGACAGCGTAAACATCCAATCACAATGCTCTATAGACGGAGCGATTAAATATTTTGCTCCACCTATATAAAGATCGCATCACCCCAACTTCTTCCTCGTCAGCTTTCCCCACGTTTTCACAGCAGATTTATCAAGAACAGGCTTGCTCTGCGGTGAGTGATGCGGGCCAAAGAGCAAGGCAGGAGGAGAAGAAGAGAGTAGTTGAATTGGTAAAGTGCTTGATAGGGACTCGCAACGGAGGCAGACATCTACAAAAGGGTCTGGCTGCAGCTTGGCGCTTGCACTCTCAGGCTTGCACTCTCAGACACTTGCACACTCAGACACTTGCACACTCAGACACTTGCACACCTCAGACACTTGCACACCTCAGACACTTGCACACTCAGACACTTGCACACTCAGACACTTGCACACTCAGACACTTGCACTCTCAGACACTTGCACTTTCGCTAGCGATAACCTACAGGGTCCTGCAAGAAAAAGAAAAGACCCGCAAATCCGTGGCTACAGAACAGCAGAATATGAACGCACGTGCAAAAAGTCTCTTGTTGCGCGTTTTCCTCCTGTAGAAAAACATTAAAATTAAATTAAAATATCAAATTCAATATACAGTTTATTAACATAATGAATATGTATATAGTATTTTCCTCTAACCACAAAACGTGGCATAATGGACTAAGATGATATAGACCAAACTCAATGCTCTTGATTATTAAAATATAGCCTACATAACTAATACACAGGCAAGCAGGTGAGCTCAGAATAAATGCAACACGCACAGTTTCGCGTTAAGCGTTTTTCCATATAGAATAAACTGTGTACAGCTCTTTTATATCATTGTCTTTGTCCATTAAGTTACATTACGGGTTTTATTTATAATGATTTTCTATGGGAAGAAAATTTTTAACGTGCAATTTAACGCATTGCGTTCTGTGCTCGTCTGCTTGCCTGTACGGAGTTGATCCTTTTAATATCACTTAATGCATTTCATAATGCACGTTCATATTTGCTGTTCTGTATATACTTTGAGTTAACAACAAGACATATAGGCTACTGAATTGTCTTTATCATCCGTTATTATGCCACATTAAGCGTTTTGCTGTATGGGAGGACAAGTGAAAGTTTGCGCATTGTGTTCATAGCCATCTGCTTGCCTTGTAGTACATTAAATATTAACTATATATCGAATTTGACCTTTTAATTGCACTTAATGTATCTTAATACATTACGCCATGTTAAGTGTTTATGTTTTTCTACAGGAGGAAAACGCGCAACAAGAGACTTTGCGTGTTTGCGTTCATATTCTGCTGTTCTGTAGCCACGGATTTGCGGGTCTTTTCTTTTTCTTGCAGGACCCTGTAGGTTACAGTACTAAATTAGTTTTAATCGTTTAATCACCACCACAGCGTCTCGTCTCCATTGGCAACACGCACCATTTGTGTCAATTGCAAGTGACGTCGCAGGTAGCGGAGCGTGCAAGTGGCGATTGCAAGTGACATTGTAATTTAGTTTCTTTTGTCTTGTCTTCACCACCTGGCTATACTGTTGTAAAATGTTGAGAGATTCAAACAAAAAGTAATCAATAAATAGAACAAAATAAAAAATAAAAAAGACTGCAAGTGACGTCGCTAGCGGAAGTGCAAGTGTCTGAGAGTGCAAGTGTCTGAGAGTGCAAGTGTCTGAGAGTGCAAGCGTCTGAGAGTGCAAGCGTCTGAGAGTGCAAGCGTCTGAGAGTGCAAGCGTCTGAGAGTGCAAGCCTGAGAGTGCAAGCGTCTGAGAGTGCAAGTGTCTGAGAGTCTGAGAGTGCAAGCGTCTGAGAGTGCAAGCCTGAGAGTGCAAGCCTGAGAGTGCAAGCGCCAAGCTGCAGCCAGACCCTTCTCGACATCTAACCTATCCTAATGTGTGTGCGCGGCTGAGCGCCATGAGTGTAGAATGCGTAAACACTTTTTAATAAAACGTAAATTCGTCCCATGCGATTTTTTTAGTCAAGTCAAGTCAAGTGTGTTCATAGAGATTTCCATGGGCCAATGCGAATAAAGCTAGATTTAATTGAAAAAAAAGACACGATATTGTCGGACCTGATGTTTTATTCTTATCCAAAACAAGATGTGATATGAGTGCGATACATAGGCTACATACATACACTACCAGTCAACATTTTTTGAACAGTAAGAAAGATCCAAAGACCAGCATTCATATGAAATAAAAACCTTTTGTAACATTATACAAATAACATTCAAAAGCTTGGAGTCAGTATTTTTATTTTATTTTATTTTAATTTTTGGGGGAAATTACAGAAATTAATACTTTTATTTAGCAAGGATGCTTTAAATTGATCAAAAGTGACGATAAAGACATTTATAATGTTACAAAAAAAAATTATATTTCAGATAACTGCGGTTCTTCTGAACTTTCTATAAATCAAAGAAACCTGAAAAATTCTACTCGGCTGTTTTCAACATAATAATAATACATGTTTTATATATATATATATATATATATATATACACATTAAAACATTAGTACTCTGTATATGTACATACACTAAGGTAGTACCATTGTTTTTTTGGAAGTTCACTTAAGTACTATGTCAACATTATGGTGCATACATTTCAGTGCCATTGTATTACCGTCTACAATCACTGTTACCAGCAAGACACCACCACAGTACTTTGTGAAGAAGTGATACTCTCATGGTGCACGACAATTAAAAAAAGCACTTGAAGTCTAATTTTGTTCACTTACCATTCCCCCCATCTCCACATCCTGGTCGTCGGTGAGAATGAGGATGATGTTGCTCAGTTTGACGCATTGTGAACACCTGAGCGTGCAGGTGAGAAGCGCGACAAATAGACAGGTGGACACCGCACGCGAGCTCGCCATGAGGACAACACCAGACCAAACCCGCAACCGGTCTGCCTGAGAAACGGTGTCAAGCAGACGAGGGTTATGAGTGGCGAGCAGCAGCACACACGGTGGGATGAACTGAGAAAGTTTGAGGAAGTGAGACGCTCTGTGTGTCATATGACTGCAGCCTGATCTAACAGCTGATGCCTTCACAATCAAGTCACAGTTCATAATCAAGTAAAAAAGTTTTTTTAACACAAAGGTTGTCTCCGTTTAAAAACCGTGCTCTAGTTTTTTCGTTGTTTTAAAATGTTTTATAAATTATTATTTATCGCTCTGATAGCAAAAAGAAAAAAAAAACTTATTTTTTTTTAGCCATTTAATTTAAAAACGACAAATGTAAGTTTATAATTGATATGTCAGACGAAAATGATATATTTCTATCTTTGTCGTTTATTCACGTGTGTAATAAGAACTCTGAAATATAGAACACCTCAGATTAACAACATTACTCTCAAATTAACAAAATAAACGTTTTATCAAACTCGACCGTGTGCGTTTTATTGCGAGGTCACATCCTCACACCCTCCCTTTCACGTGATTGTGTTATTGTTTTATAATCGCATATGACATAGTCTTGTAAATGCATTCGAAGATCAAGAAAATCTTCCCTTTCGTAGTTATTATTTTATTTTTATTATGTAACTACTGTGATTTAAGTTATTGTGGCAACCGACGTCTGTCATGTCCGCGACCCAGTCGGAACGCTTTATGGGTGCACCAAAACTTGTGTATCACCCAAAATAGATCCCCCTTGATACAATCCTACGAGACATAAGGTCCGTCTTCCGAGAGGTGGCGCCTGTGGCCCAAAAACCTGAGCTCTCGTTTGGTTCACATTCAAATGCGAAGATGCTTTACGTTTTTGAAGGCGTTTGTTTACAGCGCTATTATCGATCAGATGTATTAATCGATATTCTTGATTCTAAGTCGAATCTTCCAGAACAATTTCTTTAAGTGATTTTAGAATGCATTTCCGGTAATCACAAACGGCTGTGATTGGTCCATCTTCACCAGCGCAGAGAAACGTACCAGATACCACGTGATACCACGCATCCTTTAGCAGCGATCAGGACAACTTTTATTAAAAAAACTATACTCATAAGATTAGTTTAATTTTAAAAACACCAAGTGAATAGCTCAAACAGAATAATTAGTTTCTATAGAGAAAACTTGTTTCACGATAACTGCCGTCTATTTACGTTGTTATTTCTGTGACACCTTTTCCCTCAGTCTGGTGGAAGCGCAGAAATCAGCCCAGAGCGTCTGATCTGATCTACTCTGTGGTGGTAGATGGGGTGATGAAGGTTATGTTTTTAGTGTTTGCTCTAGACTATGATCCCATTAAAACGCAGGAAAGCCTCTCTACCTGTAAGCCAACAGGATGACACCTGTACATTTCCCCATGTTTCTATATTCATCTTGGAGAGGAAGATGGGAACATCTAGAAGAGCATTTCTTACACGACTAGGACGGAGCAAAGGATTTCTTATTAAAGAAACCTACAGGTACGAACCAGCACTTTACTATGATAGTACCACCAGTGTTGGGGAAAGTTACTTTTAAAAGTAATGCATTACAATATTGCGTTACTCCATTAAAAAAAAGTAACTAATTACGTTACTTTTTATGGAAAGTAATGCGTTACGTTACTTTTGCGTTACTTTTAAAATCTGGACAGGGCTTGCTTGTTTGTTTTTAAAATATAAAAGTTCTATTTTTGGCAAATATAAAAGCCTTTTCACACCAAAAGTGAAATGAATAAGCCTCAGGCTGAAGGGAAAGTACATTTACATCCGTACAGTAGAATGCAGAAGAAGACATTTCAACACACTTCAGCAATAAACAAAATACACACAAATGTTGTCTAGAGTAATTTGTGCTTATTAGTACGGTTGAACTGGATCATCGAAGGACAGAAGCAAAGACATTGGTGATTAGAATGAGATTACATACATAAAGGATATTTGTGTTGTTTAACATTTAATTATTGCAGGTTTGCATCATATTCTGAGTTGCATTATTTTTATTCATTTTGAGGAATACTGAATCTGTGTGTTTTTTTTATTTTGTGAGTGAGATGAATTAATGCGTATTCATATTTATTTTTGAACTACAGTAACATCTTCTGATTTCTCTCAACATGAGGACAGGAGAGCTGTCAATCAATAAATTGAAAAAAAAATAATAATAACTCTGATATTCTCTTGTAAATTAAAAAGTAATGCGTTACTTTACTAGTTACTTGAAAAAAAGTAATCTGATTACGTAACTCGCGTTACTTGTAATGCGTTACCCCCAACACTGATTACCACAGTGTTTTTTTATAGGGGTGCAACTTTTGGACTATTCCTGTTTGTTTTACTCTTACAGTTCCTCCATCACACATGTTGTGTCAGAAAACAACAGTGGAGATGAAGTCCAGGCCTGGTTGGACAACCAAACGGGACGAGACGCCTCCAGTTCTGTCCATTTGTTGGACATCAGGTGGTTTACAGAGAGCATGGAGGCAGGACATCCCGTTATAGTTCAGGACAGACACATATTAAAGGTACAAGGACACATTTATGGACACGTTACTTTTAAAAGACCAGCTGAACTAAGTATTTAGACGTGTTGCAGGTTAACCCAAAACCCAACGGAGACCCCACAGCAATGCTGATGAAAAGTTACGCCTGTCAAAGACGAACGCCTTTAAAACACCACAATTCATTTCTAACAGTGAGTTATTTATTGTCTTTTTCTAATAATGTGTCTGAGCAGTTTGATGAACAGTTTGGCACTCTGTCCCGCAGGAGGCTCTTGAAATCTTGTCTCAGAATGCCGAATATAATGATAATGAAGGACGGAGCGTGGCGTTCAGACGGGCGGCATCAGTCCTGAAGGCGCTTCCCCGGCGCGTGAGGAGCATGCAGGATCTGAGGTGTTTGCCCTGCCTGGGTGACCATTCACAGAGAGTTATAAAGGTGATAATCAAGCTCCCTTATCTTCTCAAAAATCCATGTTATCTAGATGCATCTGTTAATAAGGCTATTTCACCTTTTTAGGAGATTTTAGAAGATGGATCATCAAGAGAAGTTGAGTCAACAAGACAATCAGAGCAATATCAGGCTATGAAGGTAAAGATGGGTAGTAGTCGTACTATATTCTGTTTTTGCAGAAAGAACTGTGAAGGCAGTGTAAATGATATGCCTGATTGGTCAGCTTTAGTGTGTGGATTATGAGGTCATATCTTCCCTTTCTGCAGGCACTAACTGGTATTTTCGGGGTGGGTGTGCGGACGGCAGATCGCTGGTTTAGAGAGGGTTTGCGATCTCCAGACGATTTGATTCGCACAGGACAACAGTTGAACCGTGAACAGCAAGCAGGTACTGCATTTCACTGTTGAAAATTATTATTTAGTTATTTGTAATTACATTCATAAATAAATTGTAAAAAAATCATTGATTCATGTGTGCGTGTATGTATGTATGTATATATATATATATATATATATTTAAAACATAAAATACATTTTTGATAAGCTGCTGCCAATTCACCACATTATATATGTAAAAATGTTTTTTTTTCTTTTAACTTTTAAATGATTTGGTTAATTGGTTTAATTAAATTATTTTCAAATTAAAAAAAAATTCTACAGTATAAAGTACATGTTTTCTAAATATTTGCATGAAGCAACTTTTAAAGGGATAGTTCACCCAAAAATGAAAATTCTGTCATTAATTACTCACCCTCGTTCCAAACCCGTAAGACCTCCGTTCATCTTCGGAACACAAATTAAGATATTTTTAATGGAATCTGAGAGCTCTCTGACCCTCTCATAGACAGCAATGATCCTAACACAATCAAGGCTCAGAAACATAGAAAGGAGATCGTTAAAATAATCCATGTGACATCAGGGGTTCAATCGTAATTTTACGAAGCTACGAGAATACTTTTTGTGCGCAAAGAAAATAAAAATAACGACTTTATTCAACAATTTGTCTCCTATAGCGCCATTTTGGGGAGTATCACATACGCAGAGGTGTAAAGTATTGGAGTAAATGTAATTAGTTACAGTACTTGAGTATCTTTTCAGGTACTTCTTTTCAGGTACTACATACTGTAGTTGTACTGAGTATCAAAGATATTAGCAACTTTTACTCTTTACTTCACTACATTTCTGAATGAGTACCTGTACTCTTTACTCCTCTACATTTGAAATGAGTGTCGCAGTTACACATTACATTTTGCATGGATTTTTAATTTTACTTAACATTATTTTATTTATCCGTTATACGGAAGAGACCTTTTTGAAAGATATTGTTTTTTGTTTGTTTTGTTTTGTAATTTTGAGGTGTATTCTGGTTTTAGAAAATAAATGCGATTGCTCTCCTCACAAATCAACTCTTTCTTGTTTTTGTTTCATGCTCTCTGTGCCTTGCCCTGGACTTTTATGTCACTTCCTGTCTCCCGTGGTGTTTGTAGTCAGTTTGTAGTCCGTTTGTTCATTGGTTCCCCTTGATT